CAGAGTGATAACTTGCAAGTTTCAAGCGAGTTGCATTCCGTTTTTCATTGGAAATTTACTTTTCTCAATGTACAACCTTTGAGAGGCATTTATTATAAAAAAAAAAAAAAACTGAAAGCAACAGTAATATTAAAATGATGATAAACAACGAATGAAAACAAGCCCCAACATTTTAGTTAAAATTTGCGTGACTCAGTTGATCGGGAGCAGTGGCTTTGTACTTATTGGATTACGCAGCTTACCAGCAATGAAAAGGAGTTTAATAAATGTTGTTATTATTATTATTATTATTATTATTATTATTATTATTAACGCATGCGTACCATGCGTTCGCGTCTTACGTAAGACGCGAAGGTCATTTATACGAAGTTTTTCTTGTCTTAGCTAAGAGTCTTAGCTAAGTCGCGTCCTATGTAAGACGCGTCTCATTTTTCCTCGTATAAATGGCCCTCTTATTTTAGACGAAATGTGCCGTTTATACAGAAAGTTCGCGTCTTATTTAAGACGCGTCCTATGTAAGACGCGCCTTATTTTTCCTCGTATAAATGGCCCTAATGTGGTCTTCATAATCAACTCCTGATCTGTCTTCGGTTCGTAAGAATCCGACTACTTTGCAGCCATTTCTACCTCAGGTTTTGCGAATTTTGAACCATTTACCTGTCTACCTAAAGTTTTCAAGACTTAAAAGAACAAAAACTGAGCCGTATCAAGAAAACGACTTTTTTGCCAAGAAAACGACACAAGATCTGGCAGGCTATACCCTTCCCATGGTCCCTTGCGGTTTATCACCAGTCACTCGCGTTTCGCGCTCGCTTCTACCATCCGAAAAACAAAGCGCCTGAGGAGGAGACTGCTACGTGGCGTGTGTGTTCTTGTCTCGCTGTTAAGAGAAGCAAGATAAAAGGCACGAAAACAACGTTCCGATCATCTGGGTAACCCTGGACAGACTACACTCACTCTATCACCATGAGACGTCTCAAGACTCTTAAAACAATTTTCTTTTTGTTGCCCATCTACTCGGTGATTTCCGGGTTGTTTTATTACCGTTATAAACCGTCTACGAGAACTGGAAAGACAATACGGTTCGAGCTATACGAAAACGTAACAGAAGGCCAAGGATATACAGTTGGTGAAGGTACGAGTAACTGAGTAGTTCATCTTCCAGCTTTTAAAATTTACAGCACTTTAATCCGTATATAAAAAGGGCAAACCTTGGATTCAGCATGCCATAATACTAAAGTAACAGCGTTTCATTTTAATTGAATTTCTTAATTTAAACTACACCTAGTATATTAGATCCAGTGCAACCTCGAGTTAAGTTGTTCATCAAAGGGATTCCATCTGACTTCACGATCAGTGACTTGCACCCAATTCTCGGTTTTCACATGACGTCACCAAAATTCAAACTAAGAAACTATCGATTCTTCTGATTTTCTGAGTTTCATGAGGTATTACAGCACCTAAACACCTTTATTTAAACAGAGTTTTGGTTCGAAAGGGTTCTTCGTTTTGCGATAGAGGACGTTTGAATTTCTAGGCTTTTGGGTGACGAGGCATTTAGCTGGCGGCCACAACGGCTCTTGTGTGGGTTAAAAACATCACCAATTTTGGGAGATTTTGCTGTCTAAACATTCCTTGTCTCAGAATTAATATCACGTTAATAGTTTATGAGTTGTTCAAGCGATGAGTTAACGCATTAGTAGGAAAATTCAAAAACAGATGTTTCTGTTGGTTTCCAGCGGCTATATTTGTGCCCCGCAACGGGACACAAACATGGCGTCGCCATACAAAGCTTTGTAAATTTGGGTAAAACGTTTTTCCTAATATCTCGCATATGAAATATCGCACAGACCTGATTCTTGGCGAGGCCTTTTGCTTATTTATCTTCTTTTATTTCCTAGATTCGGGCCTTTCTGTATTGAATGGTTTGCAATTTTATTTTTGAGTGCGTGACAGTGAAAACCGAGAATATCGCAACTGTGAGAATAATTGGCAAATACCGAAATAAGGCTATGGCGAAAATCGAAGAATCTAACTGATGCCGCATTTATTGATCGGTCACGCTTACTTTAAGTTGTATCCATCTCGAGTGTTTCTGTATCTCAAGCATGTTTATAGCAACCTCAGCCATTGCAAGGAAACGTGAAAAGACGTCGAATTGATCGGTAAAATGTCAGAATTTGCGTAGTTTTATTAACCTTTATGGCTTACTGTGTTTTGTGTAGCATATTGTTTTGACGTGTATTAGTTAGGAGACTGCGCAAATGAACTGCACCGCGATACCGTGAAGGATCTTCTTTTACCAAATACCGTTAACCAAAAACTCAAAAAGATGAAAAAAAAAACCACACATACTTTAAGGCTAGATGATACCGCCCCGCCTCGCCTCGCCTCGCCTCGTCTCTCTTTCCCGCTGTGCGGCTTGGCTTCAGCTCGGCTTCGGTATCACAGAACCTTCATTTTCTATGTGACTGGTCTCAAGCAAAGGGTTTTTCGCTTGATATCACTTAGTGTAATTTATTCACTGATTTGAATTCGGATGCATAAAAATGAGAATCCGTTCTAACAAGAAGCACTAATACGTGAACGCGGCCTTCTTTTAGTTAGCCTTCGACAGAGCGGAAAATGTGCTTTTAGTAATTATGGTACTACAGCCCATGTGAACTTTGATGGTGAATTGATGATGAATAAATTAAAAAAATAATACTCCAGCAAAACAGACAGGCAAGACTCGAACGTTTCTAAGGGGCGCACTTGACCATGAATGCATGACTATATAATGCGTCAAAATAAAGTAGCTGGGTTTTTTTAAATTGGCATGAGCTTGATCCGAATAACACTAATAAGACTGTATGTCATGTGGCTGTCCATAGGAAACTAATATTTTGAGGACAAAAATTTAAAATAAAACCCTATAGGTACAAGAAGAGAATAATTATGATTTTGTTTTGGTAGGTCTATTATATAAGCTAAACCAATGGAGTAAAAAGCCCAGATCTTTCCATGAATAAGATCTTTATTCAATTTATTGTCACTCTACTGATGCAGTTACTTTAAAGGCAAACTATTGGTATCTTCTTTTAGTATACATTCATTATCAGAAAACTTTGTTACGTACGACTACATTTTGTTTGATTTGGTATTGAGTTCATCTTGAAGTAAATAAATAAAGTACATGTCAATATTTCGTTGCCTTTATTATTGCATCAACAACAAATACCACAGCATTGCCTTAACCCTCAAGTTAAAAGGAACTCTAAAAATTGACTGTAATAACCCCAAAAAGTCTTTATAGTTGTGTGGGGACAAATATAACATTTTCTTAATAAATATGTGCCAAAGTTCAATCCAAACTATTAACTTACAGGGGTGTACCTGCCTTTAGCAAATAAGCAGGGGCTTGGAAGTGATTCGGATGGTATGATATATATTTTTTTTAAAAAGAGTTGTACTGGTAAAGAGCCGTGTATTTTCCTTTGGCCTGGTCGATCATCTCGTACAAGAACTAAATGACAGGCTTCTGTCATAAGAGAATCTTTACTTAGGACAATATCTTGTTTCAGCAAAGTTGAATGCTTTCAACAGCGGAGTTCAAGATATATAAGCTTTGTGAAATCTACAAAACCGATCTCTTAAAGAAGAGAGACTTTGACAATGAAATTTTCAGGTGGCAAACAAAGTGGTCTCATTCAACTGATGAAAAACCAGGAACACTCACAGAGACAGTCTCCAGCATGCTAATCCGGACCTTTATCCCAACGTGGTCACAGTTATTACCATCCTCCTGACAATGCCAATGTCAACTGCTACCCCCGAACGATCTCTTAGCACAATGCGCAGAGTGAAGACTTAGTAGACTTGCTTACGTTACACGATAAAAACAGAGCGACTCGCAGCACTTGCTCTGATGTATGCTTACAGAGACATACCCATTGATGTAGAAACCGTGATTCGCGAATTATGCGCCAAAAAGAACAAACGTCTAGATTTCGCGATTTCTTTGAGTCCACCAAGATTACAGATATGTTTGCAACTAATGTGTCGCTTGTCAGGTCATTACGTTGTTGCTGTTTTTGACCACAACCACGACTGGCTGCATTTTGTTAAATATTCCATTATTTCTTGTTCAATATGGAATCCTGGCATTTGCCAATTAATTTAAGCGCCCAGATTGCACCAGATTACATCTTAGAGTACTTGAACTTTCAGAATTTTCCGGGAGGGCATGCCCCCGGACCCCCTAGCATGTCGCGCCTTGGGCTCTCCTAATGGGCGCTAACGAGCCCATATTGTATCTCCCCTCAATATGCTCCACCAAGGCTTACAAACAAAAAAATGCCTAGGAACGCCCCTGACTTATATAAGTTTATTATTTTTAAAAAAGTGCATACCTTCATAAATAGACCTATCTAGTATCGTAAATAAAACATAATTATATTTTATATTAATAGATGTATTTTGTGAATTTCCTGAAACCATTTACCCCAAAACGTTGTACAGAAAATAAAGAAACAAATGTGCCTGCCAAAGAAGCCATTTAAAACAAAATATACATTACTTACACCCATCTCCCAGCCTCTAACAAGTTATTTGCAAGCAAAGAAGTAACCACAAACCTGTGTACCTCGTTGTGGATAATCTTGAATGTACAGTAGCTTATAAACACAGCAAACAGAAAAAATTCCTCTCCCAATTCTAGCTTAGAATTCTGACTTATTCATGTACCAAATGTGCCAGCTGGAAGACCTCTTTAGCTTGTATATTTTGTTTTTTTCCAATGCGGGCCATGTGATAACACTCCAACGAACAGTTTCTTTTCCATGTCAGTTTCAGATGCTGCTCATGTGCAAGAAATACGAAAGAGAATCGTGGAGGATTATTGCCTGACTCATAGATTTGACAAAAATCCTAAATTCAATAGAGAAAATTTTGCATTTGTCCTCGTAGATGACAGATTCAAGTTAATCTACTGTGCAATCCCAAAAGTAGCAAGTACAACAATGAAGGAGATATTTGCTCAGCTTTATAATAAAACTTGGAGAGGTGCTGATGTAAGTATAACTTAAACTTGAAGCGGACGTGCTAACACACACTATAATTCAAAAAGAGCGGGGGAAGTTTCCCCATTAGTGTAGTCTCTTCACATATCACATATATCATACAGTAGCGCAGGGAACAGAGAAGTTATTTGTGACCTTGATTGAAGTGAAATTTTTCAGCTATAAATATTGGGATTCGCCTTTGTTTACTGTAGAATCGAATATGAACTTGAGCGATCCTGTTACAGACCTGATAAAATAATATCCAGTGGTCGGTTAGTCTGGGGAGGAGCGTTGCGTGACGACTCAAAAACGGCTGTGTAGCAGACTACTGGTCGGTGGGAACGAGCGTCGCCCGAAGGACGACGCATTCAGCTTTCCGAGCGAGGCACGATCTTGGCGTGTTCAGTTCTGCGGTATATATGTTTTTTAACACGGTTTATAGCAGCATCTTACAACGGTTTGATCAGTCATGTTCATATTCGATTCTACAGTAACAAAAGGCGAATCGCGCTGTTAGGTGGAAAATTTAACTGCAATAAAGAGGAGAAGCCGTTGCGTCACGTTGCCATGGAAGCATTATATTACTGAAAAAGTGAATTCGCACTGTTTCGAACTTCATCGATCTTATTCAGTTTCATTTAATTTGTGAAATATTGACGAAACTTTTTAGGGTTGAATCCGAAATGAAAGAAGAAGAAAATGTTGGTTTTGTGTTCACCTACTCCATAAAGCAGGAGGTCTCACGTCGTAGTCGTGCAGTGATGGCTACGAAATGTAGCCTGTACACAGTCGTTGTTTTATTTTTCTTTTCGTTCTTTTCAAAAACATCGCCGAGCGCGCGAGAACGAGCGGCGGCGGTCAATAAATCCCCTGCGGTTTATATTTTATCACGCGCGCTCGACGGACTTTGAAGAGAAAATAGACGGTCTGTGAACTGGTTGAAGAAATGTGCAAAAAAGCGTGATGCACTTGCAAAGTTGTTGTTTTGCTCATATAAATCTATTACTTTTTGCCGATCTCGTTGCCGTCGCCATCGTCCTCGCTTAAACCCCCTATAAACCTCTTCAGCTTGTATGTTTTGTTTTCCCAAAAGAGGTCCCAGGGGAACTGGACCCTTTGTCTTTTCATAAATAATGCGTAGATATGCACGTGAATAAAACGAAATTTGAAAGAAACAGTTCTCTAGAGTATTATCACATGACCTGCATAGGTAAAACAAAACATACCAGCTAAAGAGGTCTATTGTTGTGATCCAGACGTTTGCTACCATGGTAACGAGACGTCACACTTCTCCTCTCTATCAAGGTCACAAATAACTCCTCTGCTCCCTGTGACAGTAGCTCACAACTGGACCTACAGCGGATCGAAGCGACTGGTACCTTTGTATGCTGACGTCTCAGCTTACGGTACAGATATGATGTACAGAGGACACCTACTGTTGTCCTCTAGCTGGCCGCGACATTAATTACTTTACAAGGAGCTTTAGATTTGAGGAAGAGGACAACTACGAGTACGAAATTTAACTTAAGGTTTTTTTCGCGTATTCTCGAAAAAAAATCAACCCGGAAAGCTTCATTGTACTATTTTTCACCTGAAAATTAGTGCAGTTATTTTTATTGGAGAGGATTTAGCCCTTTCCAGGCTGCAAAATGATTAAACTTCTAATATTTGATAACTTGTTCCTACCACTAAGACATTCTCGCTAAAACTTGTAGTAGAATGACGACAGCTACCACCGATTTCGTCCGTAAGGGTAGCAATTTGGTTACGTTCCCTGAATTTATAAAATACTTCTCTAATCCTGAGAGAAGGCGCGATCATCATTGGCGTCAATACGATAAAATCTGTCATCCCTGCCTTGTTAAGTATGACTTTATCGGTAAGCTGGAGAATTTTTCAGAGGACGGCCCATCCCTTCTAAGAATGGGAGGACTCAGTGACAAAGCTGCTTTCCCGCCAATTCACCAACATACAAGTGGTGATGAGGTTCTGAATAATTACTTTCAGATACCACCTGACGACATCAAGAAGATTGGAGAACTGTATTTTAGCGATTTTGCGATGTTTGGATACGAGTACCTGGGCCCTGTGAAGTCAGTTCTAAAAAACGCCAATGACCATTCTTAAGTCTCCATCACGAAATGACATGGTAAACGTGACAGTTAACAAGTGTAACAACTAAGAGAACCAAAACATGACAAAATACTACAGTAGATTGATCTGCAAAAAATATAATAAACAAATAGAGCATAAACATATTTCATAAAAACACACGGCAGAATAACAAACAAACAACTTGATCAAACAAAGCAAGTATGGTTCTATGAATTTTTCGCTCAAATACAGAGTTATCTCCATAATTCAGAAGTTATTACTCGGACCTGGTGATTAAACTGATGAACTCCGAAGATATTTATCTTAATTTCATTGTCGGCGAATTTCTGTAATCGTCCATCGTTCTGCTAGTGAGAAGCGAGCCGTTGTTCACTCGTCTTGATTGTTTGGGGCTGAGTCTTATTCCGGTCAAAGAGAGAGAAAGAGTGTTTGGCAAGGTTTCCAATCAAAGATTTGTGAACTCGTGTCTGGCAAACTCTCCAAGTGTTTATATATACCAGTAATCGGCTCCTGTATATACACAGTTATACGCACCTTATAACTTCTTCTGCGCTTAACGAAAAAATTTTTTGCTTTCCTTATCAAAACACTGTATAGATTCTATTAAGCAAATAAGAAAAATTCTGTCATATGCACTTTAAACTTTTGGTCCGTAACTTTCACTGAAACAACTGCTCCACAGAATGTCACTGATAACACGTAACGCAAAAGAGTGTCGAAGTATGACAGCACAATAAATGTCACAAAATCTACCTAAGCGGTCCCTTGGTAGCCTGCGTGGCAGGCGTTTGAAAGGGAAGGGAAAGAGAGAAACGCGAAACGCAAAATGCCATTTCGTACTTGCGGGCGCAAACAATAGAAACGTCATCATTACCTACCGATTCCTCGCGGCCCCTGTTCAAGCAATCGAGATTTTTTCTATATTGACTGTATGACTGTATATTTCAACTGTAAGTACTTTCCTTTATATACGCGCGAGTTACTAGAGTGCCTCCTCGGGATTTCGCCTTCTGGGCGAAATCCCTGCGGGGGCAATCATTCTTATCAGGAGCCGATTAAGTAATCGGCTCCTGTTATTATTATTTATTTTTGTTTTTGTTTTTATTTTACGTACCTCTTACAATTACTGTAATCAATTATAGTCATGCAAATAAAGGTTATTGTTGTTAGGAACCCCATTGACACCATCATATTATCCTCTATATAATTGCACAGAAGAACAAAGGGCGATACGTTTGAAGACTTACTTTGTTCATGAGAATGAACTATATTCAAAAATTGTACACAAAATCTTAGCTACGAATTTCACAATTTGACCGAATTCAAATTCACAAAAATACTATCAAGCGAATTCAAAAACTATTAATCGAATAAACGAAAATTGTCTCTCTGTCCAAGTCCTTCCAAGTTCTAAACTGTTCTCACTTATATTTTTTAACAATAGAGTTGTTAATCTCGGTCCATGCAAATTTCCATCACACTTCATCCAATCAGGGCTCGAATGAGTCCCTTAACGCACGAATGTTCTCACCACCATCGCTAAATCATTAGTCCTTTTGTCCATACTTCAAGTTCCTCTGGCCTCGTTATTACATCTCTAATGGAGAGAATGTGGTTACTTTCCTTGAATTTATAAAACACTACTCTCACTATAGAATGCGCGATCACCATTGGCGTCAATACGAGAAAATCTGCCATCCCTGCTTGTTAATTATGACTTCATTGGTAAGCTGGAGACTTTGTCAGAGGACGATCCATCTCTACTAAAAATGGCGTGCATCAGTGACCGAATAGCTTTCCCGCCAATCCACCAACATACAAGAGGGGATGAGGTTCTGAAGTATTAATCTAAGGTTCCGCTTGACGACATCAAGCAGATTGGAGAACTGTATTTTAGCAATTTTGCGATGTTTGGATACGAGTTTCTTTGCCCTGTGAAGTCAAATGTGAAAAACTCTTGATTTCTAGAAATCTCTCTAGCTGAGACGACAATGGCCATTCCCATGCCCAGGGGGGCAATCTCTATAATGGCCTATACGGGAAGGGTCCGCCAGAAAAGGGTGCCATTTTCAGGCTTCAGATGAAAGGGTACGGATTTCACTAGTTGAAGTATGCTAAAGGGGAGCGAAAATGGAAAATCTCTCATTTCGGTCGTAAGAAGGCCCAAAAAGGCTACTAGATGCATTTTGTGGTTGTGAAAAAGTCGAGATTTAGTGTATGTAGAAAGAAGAAATAATTCAACCTCCCAGCAAAAAATTTATGAATTATTAGACGGAAGGCTATTTATGCATAATCTTTGCAGTAGAGTCCTGAAAAGTACCTTTTTAACTAGGATCGAGAGCGTAGTGGTAACAAGAGATGTGCGCAGACTAGTTACTTGAGTTATTCTCAAGTATGACGGCCTCTGATTCGTCTCTTATGGACTAATTTAATAGGTAAGTCCCGTCCATCATCAGCAACCATCCAAGGTCTTATCTTAAAGGAAAAGAGATAATTTTTTCTGCAGATCTATTCTTTGCTCAGTTGGGTATTCCATGACGTCACTGCTGCTTTATCATGTCTTACTAAAATAGAGCGTGTTCATGTGACGTCACATCCATTTTCGTGTCCCATAACAATGAATACGCGGCCATGTTGGTACCATAGCCATGCAAATAAAGGTTGTTGTCGTTAGAGACCCCTTTCGACACGATCACCCTAGTGAGATAAGGGCAGTGTCGCTTATTTTCAATTCAAGGAAGAACAGATGAATATTCTGAGAGTACTTCTCTTCTTGGCTTTATTGCCTCCTGAAAATGAATTAGAATTATCGAGAATTCTTCCTATAGCTCTTGCAGGCGTCTTACAGGTGGACTTGCCTGACTACATAGAAAAAAAGGAAAAAAAGTATAAAAAAACATCATATCCTCCTCCACTGAAAGCTATAATAAGGTCTAGCCTCCAAGGTGAGGTATACACGCAAGTTGGTATGGTATTAAATTTCTTTAAAGTAATATATACAGTGTAAAAGTGAATTGCACCAGACAGGTTGATCTCTCTATTGCAGAGAGATAACTTGCAAGTTTCAAGCGAGTTGCCTTCCGTTTTCCATTGGAAATTTACTTTTCTCAATGTACAACCTTTGAGAGGCATCTATTATAAAAAAAAAATTGAAAAGTAACAGTAATATTAAAATGGTGGTAAACAACGAATGAAAACATTTACTACGTCATAAATCGTTCGTCCGTTTCGAGCCTTGCTCTCAAAGTCATTAATCTGGATTAAGCTCAGTTGAGTTGAATAGATTCACTACTTCGGAAAATCCCAAATAATGTAACTGATTATCAGCCACAATGATGGCGTTCTCTTTAATTCCAGAGAACTACTCGAACGGTCTCCACGATTGTTTTAATTAGATGCAGTTCGCTTGAAATTTTCTATGGGTCAGTCTGAACGCTAGCCAAGCCCCAACGTTTTAGTTGAAATTTGCGTGACTCAGTTGATCGGGAGCAGTGGCTTTGTACTTATTGGATTACGCAGCTTACTAGCAATGAAAAGGAGTTAAATAAATGTTATTATTATTATTATTATTATTATCATTGTTATTATTATTAACAAAGCTAACTATAAAATCCTATTTACAATTAATTTCACTTAAAAAAACTATTCAGTCAAAGCACTATTTACATTATTCCTTTCGATTAAAAAAAAGACACTTAATTTCGATTGAAAAAATTCATTTCATTAAAAATATATCATATTTTCGGAAAAAAATTCAATTTAAAAACGGTTCATTTCAACTAAACTAAACTAACGTGCTCACGCCATTAAAAAACTATTAGAATTAATTAAAAATTAAATTACTATTATTATTATTATTATTATTATTATTATTGTTACTATTATTATTATTATTATTATTATTATCATTGATAACATTATTACCGTAGCGTGACCAGTTATATCTGGATGCACGATCCTCCCAGAAACCTCTATTTTCATAAACCTTTGATGCACACCTGCTATTGTTTTGAGGCTGGGCAGGCTGGGTCAGAGTGATCTCTTGTTTCGCCGGTAAGCTAATTAAACAGCTCGAGAGCTTCTTGGGCACCCCAGGTTTACGAGCTGGTGTTACTTCATGGTGAAACTCACTTTTGTTTCACCATGGTTGTGTGCCCTCTTTGCGACCGATGCAAAAGTAGAATGAAATTTTTCTTGCCTGTCAAACTGTCTCTCTAAACAAAGAGTCAAAACATAGGTTTTTCTGTTTGTTTTTGCACTGCTATACTCAAACACATTTCATAGAGCTAAAAGTTTCAGCGTGTTTCAGGGCCTTGAGAGGAGATTTGGTTTCTATGTATTTTACTGAATTTCCTTTACTAACCTGTCTGAAAGCCTACTATCTGCTAGCTATTTTGGAATCAATTAATGTACAGAATACTGTAAAAAGGAAGCTACAGCAAGTGATATAAGCGCCGTCATTTGCCCTTCGTTTCTCATTGCTTATCGTTCAGTTGTAATTTCATTGTTGAGAAAGAACCTCTCGTTCAAACAAGTGAACCTCAGAATGACTATTTCAACAAAGGTAAGTGACGTGCTAGCTTTATGTTACGCAAGGTCACCGAATTTTTAAAGCGTGAGCTCGCCATCTGATTTGACGTACGTCCCCCCACGGAATTCTCCACAATGCGCACACTTTTCTGTATATTACAAGCAGTCCTTTGGTCCCAAAAACTCCGGTTTATATTAGTTTTTATTTCTTTCAGTCTCTCTGTTAGGGAGAGAAGAAGCTCAACGTAATTAAAAACGGGAATCAAACGGAAATCACCCTCAAAGGACACTAGATTCATCTTGAAAATGCAAGGGATTAAGTTTTCAACCGAAATCCAAAATATATAAAGCAGCCTTAGTGAAGGCTCCCCATCACTCCCTAAGTTACTACACTAATGCATGATGACTTAGCCCCCCATCATCATCATTTACTGCACTACTAAAACATTAAAGATCCTTTGAGCTAGAAGTAGTTTTTAATTCTAAAACAGCAATTAAACTAACTTAAAACTTGATCAATAACTCACGTGGTCAGCAAATATTCACCACTGATTTGGGTTTTATTTTCATGCTTTGCTCGTCAAATGTAATATTTATAGCAAGTTTGATAAAAAAAAATTTTTAAATTTTAAACATCTTTCAAAACAGGTGGTTTTGTGTCTTGCCGTTGCCTTGGGTAGCTCTATCCTGGGTTTTACAAAATCTTTTTTCCTTGAGAAGCCATCTCTTCAAAACCAAACACTCAGTCACCCGAGTGACCCAGAGTCTGAAGAGTCCCACCCTGCCACTCAACTCCGGGAAAGCGCGGGAAGCGTGAGCCAGGAGAGTGACATCTTGAGCGAAGCTAACGACATCAATCAGTCAATTGTCCATAACCGCACTTCACGAGACCTAGTGTTAGAGTGCTACGAAAAAGGGGTGTGGAGATTCGACAAATGCAGAAATCAATTTGTTTCCGAAATCAAGTGTCTTGTGTCTCACAAAGTATGTTACAAAAGCCAAGAAAGGTGTGAAGCAGTGCTTGGCTTTCGGAACACGAGCTTCATAGGAAAGTGTTTTGCGTTGACACTGGGTTGTCAATGCGCCGCCAGTCAGTTAAGCGGTTAATATGACCTGGAACTTTTTCCTCTGGTTTATCTGATGAAGCATATTGCGTAGTGATGATAAATTTTAAGTAAAAAAATTAAAGCTAAACATGTATCCCTTAAGAGAATTAAGACACAGTAAATGATCTGATGTATGCGAGAACGACAAACTGTCATGCTAAAACGCATTTGAAAATAAATACAGGTTATATATGTCAGTGGTCTGGAATAAAACTTAGCGGGAGTTGTGATTGTAACGCACCGTAGAATGATAATCTAATAAATTTTCTTGGCTGAATTCTAAGCTCATATTCTGATATGTTTTAGTGCGCCAGGTTATTACTGAGAATTACTCTTTCTCTAGAACTAACAACATCAACTTTGTTTTTGGTCATAGCTTATAAAAATGGAGACGAAAAGCGTTTATTTGTTCTGATTAAGTTTTAATATTATGACATTACTTCATTACCACCATATAGTAGTCACGAACTAATTTTGAAAATGACAATTTTCTTAGTGCCCATATCCGTTTTTGCTGATTAACTTCTTCATCATCATCTTCTTCTTTTTCAGTTCCACTTTTTTTCATTACAGTGATCTGAGAGACATTAAGGGAAATTCCTCCTAATATCTCATCAACATATTGTCGGTTAAAACTGGTAGAATCATGGCAAACTCCTGGCTTAGTAAGAAAACGAATTATGAAGTCCAATCAGAATAGGTCGAATTCTCGGCTGCCTTGTAACTGTAAAACTGGCGTCTACAGTACATAGTTTGAATGACAGCCGTCATTAGAATCCTAATAAGTTCAAGATGATTATTTTGTCTAGTTCTTAAAGCTATGTGAATGCAAACGAGCGCAACAACTCCCAACATTTTTGGGCCAATAACGTTGGGATTTGTTGCGTCTCTGCTTGCAGTGTTGTGTAGACGGATGCAACAAGTCCCAACAATGTTGGGACCTGCAGTGCATCGTGGGAAAGGATACAACCCTTAAGACTTTAGAAACCACGTGTAATGCGCGCGCGTAGCCCAAGCAATGTTGGAAGAGCTGTGCAAACGGATCTAACATTGTTGCGCTACGTTCGGGGATCACGAAACAGTTTTTGGCTCAAAAGTTTGACCGGTTTTACTGCAACTCCCAACAACACGCAACAACATGCGACAGGGTGTGCAAACGAACGCAACATGTAACATCCAACAATGTTGGGCGGTCGGCTAACAATGTTGCGTCCGTTACACGGGGCTTAAAACTGTAATGCTTTAAAAATTTGTTTAATCACGGCGTATCACACTTATATTATGGCACCACTTTACCATTTGCGTCAGCCAAAACATAAGAAAAAATATTGAATCAAATCTAGTTAGTGAACAGTTCTGAAAAATAATAATACCTAGCTTGTGAAGGCACTGCTAAAAGTCATTTTTCCACGAGAATGGTCACACCATATTTCATTGTCCATCCACTCTGAAGAGTTATGAATCTAAATTACCTATCCCCAGCAGTCTCCGTAAGCAAAGGGTCTATGTTTGTTAGCACGGGCGCTCGTTATCGTGCGCAGTTAAATCTCATAATAACAAAAAGGCCCTGAGAGAACTTAGGTAATGGTACTCTCAACTAATGATAGACCCTATACTCCCTTCCTCACCTCATTCTCTACAGCTTTCTTCATGAAAGGCAAGTTATATATATTCTCAGCGAGAGTACAACATGACGTAATTGTCTTTACTTGAGATCAACTGTACACTTGTCGCGCGTTTTAGATCTGATTTTTTCAGTGCAATCTCCACACTGTATCCACGAGTTTATAATTAAGATATCGACATCACATTGTTATGCAGGTTCTATACCTACTTTCTTGCACAAGTTATTTTTATCAGTAAAACTACGGGGGTTGTAATGCAACAGAGCAAGTCAGTTGCCGTTGAAATTCTACATGGACATTCTAAATATAAAATCAATTAATAAATGGTAGTGTCAGCTTTAAAAACGATTTAAACTTGTTTCAAATCTATTATTAGTATAGCTTGACGTCGCTGGTGGTATTAAAATCATTAGAAGAATGAGTTCACGAATAAGACAACACATTGAAAAACGCGCTCCTATACAGTAACGTCAATTACAATGTTGTCGCACATTATAGCATTGTAGCCGAAATTAATTATGCTCTCTAATGGAGAAAATTATTAGAGGGGCTTCTTTATGCTAAGTTTAGAAATGGTTCAATAGTCGCAAATGATACTCTCGATCCTACTCTATCGATACATTTATCAGATAATTGAAACGGTACTTCTCAGTCAGTCGCTCACATACCATGCATTCTTCGACTAATACCGGAAGAACTTGACAGTGCTTACTGTTAGAATCTTCAAAGTGTCTGACTTACCGGCAGCGTTATTATAGCTAGAGTAGAGTAACTAAAGGTTTACACACGCTTAAGTCAAGCCTATAAAGAGGCACTTGCTTGAATTGTATGATTGTAATGATCTGTAATGCCATTATTTTGTCTTGATAAAATTTTTGTTTTCATCTGTTCCGGTTTCGAAATGAGCGTACGCCTTGCTTTTTCTGTCTTTGACTAATCATGGGGTTTGCTGAAACGATTTTTTCCACAAGAGAAACAGAGGATTTTTGAGAGAAATGTAATTTTCCCTTTTACTGCCCACATGTTGTTTGCACCCATAAAAGAAGGAACCGTAGTGGCTGTGAACATTAAGCTTCCCTTGCAAAACAAAATTTGAACATAGTGTACGCTGTCTTGGACTCATCTTCGTAGCCTTATTTTTAAAAGGACCATATCACATCAACATGAATAGAGTAAGTACACATCGTTTAGTAGGGTAGGCAACCCCGAGTTAATAATTAAGCCTGGACCTGGTTCCTGAAAGACTGATTAGCGCTAATCCATGGGATTAATTTAAAATTTTGTTCCGTTTTTGCATTTAGCCTTTCTATGTATTGCTTAGAGTAACATTTTGTGCTATCATTACTGTATCTCGGAGTAAAGGTTCGACATTCAGATTTTGGAAGTTCGAGTTGCATGCTCCTAGGAGGAAACCTTGCTTAGAATTTGGCTTAATCCTGGGTTAAAGTTGACCATCTTTTGAGGAACAGGGCTGGACTTATTGATGGAGTCAATGATTTTAAATGATAAGAGTTTATAGGGTTAATCAGACTTACTTCAAGCCTACACTATGACAAAAATTGAGAAAACTAGCTACCGGCATTCTCCCTCACATAACACGGGAATATATTTATGGATATAAATTCAAATAAACACGGGCCTTATGAGCTAGCTTCTAATCCCTTATTAACAGGGAAACTTCTCCATACAAAACTGTATACAAATATGTGTTACAATCATTTAAAAACATTTATCCTACTGATTGTAAGGTGCTCTGCAGCGAATTTTATTAATTTAGAATCAACCTAGGTTGAGTCAATTTAATTTTGTCCTGTGACTTATATCTATGGCTTCCAAAATGTCTACTGAAATTCAACGTTGCAGTTCTGTGCGATGTGCAGCCAGGAAAAAGTAAAAGTAATCAGACGAATTAGCAGCACTTAATAAGACTATGATATAGTACAGTCTACTTTTTCAAAAACATTCATTTTAATACAAGAAAATGAAACGATTTTTTCAATTAAAATGAATGTTATGGTTCAGATGTTTTACTTTTTCCTTCATTTTCCTACTTTACTCATTTCTGAACGCGCATATTTTTCAATTTCAGCAATTGTTCCTTTCTTTTTTTATCATACTGTGTGGTCCTAGCCCGTCATTTACCAAACCGTTTTCGCAACAAGTGTCATCGCATCGAAACCATCCATTAGTTCATCAATTACATGCCGAAGATTCTCAAAGCCGCGTTGTCTTCCAACCCGAAGAGGGCATTGACGAAAAGATTGAAGCCGAGTTTCCCATCAGACACGCCTCACACAATAGAACCGCTAGGGACGCTAATAACCCGTGCTTCCACTACATAGAAGCGAGAACGTGGGATTCCTGCAGGCAGAAATATGTCGACAAGGTCCATTGTTATAGTACGCACACTGCCTGTTATAGAGCGCTGGCTAAAGGTTATAGTTACCCCGCCTGTCAAGTAGTGTTTGGCTATCCACAAGCCAAATACATCTCAAAATGTGCTGCATTGCCTATAGACTGCCAGTGTGCTGCCTGAATCGATTCTACCATATACCATGGCTATTTTTGTATTGATGAATAACTGTCGCTGTTAGTATTTCCTTGTCTTATACTGTCGTTGTTATTTAAACCGCCCTCTGGTTTAAAATAATGCTGAATATGTGAAAATAAACAAAAACTATTTTATGGTTATTAGAAATGATGACATGTCGCTCTAAAAATTAATGTAAAATCGGTTACTGAACAAATAGTAGTGAAACGTTCGCCGGACTGACGGTTGCAATCCATTCTAGTTTTTGTACCACAGTAAATAACCGTAATAATTTTATCCCAGAAATGGAATATTTAATTCAAGGGGTACGTAGCTGGGTTATTATGAGCAGCATTTTATGATATATCGTTTTATCACATAGGCTTGATAACCACTGATAGCCTTGAATTTTAAATCAGTCTTGGGAGTTGGCCGTGAAAAGGGCTCTTGTAAAAACGGTAACGCGCCCTCCTTGTGGGTACAATCAAGCCTAATCAGTTTCCTGTGCGCGTCTTGTTGGGGCCAGTACGCCATTAAATAAGCGTAAAAAAGCAGACTAGTGATAAAAGATAAATGTAACTCATTTACAGAAGCCCACGTACGATATATTGAAATTCTAACATGACTCCGAGGCTTTCTGGTCATTTTTCTATATTCAGTTTGGTTTTCTTCGTGTCCAAGTCTCTTCTGGGAATTGCGAGACAATGGCGTCGTGAATTATTTGCAATTTTGACCCTAAAGCCCTCGGAGTTAGAATTTTAATATATCCAGCGTGTTAGCAGTGGAAAAATCCAATAGATAAATAAAGATATTGAAAAATAAATATATCAATATTACAATAGGAATCCTAAGTGCGCACTCGATCTGGAAAGAAGAAATGATTTAACTTCCTCGTAAAAATGTCTGGGATTATTACAAATTTTCAAGTGACCAGGAAGGCTATTAATTAAAAATCTTTGCAGTAGAGTCCTGGCCCGTGTTGCTCGAGGCATGGTTAGTGCTAACCAGCGTTAAATACCATGGAAACCTATACATTTTGATACCTCTTAACCAACGGTCAGCGCTAACCAGGCTTCGAGCAACCGGCCCCTGAAAGGTACCTTTTTCAAGTGGGATTGACAGCCTAATGGTAAAACTGGGAAGCAATGTGTGCAGACTAGTTTCTTGATTTATTCTCAAGTATGACGGCACGGCAAACGGCAAACGTGAATTTGTACCACGTGACCAAGTTTTCCATTTACTTATCGTTTACTGTTCATTAGAACTACACGAGAATCGGTAGATTCACGACAATTTTATCCATAACAATTGTTTTAAGCTGTGTTTATCTGCTCATTTCTCATTTTGAAAATTCTCAACTTGAGTGTCTCGCTGTTTGCCGTAAACTAGGTGCTTAATCTCCCTATTGGTATTGAGTCCCTTATGCACTAATTTAAGTAAGTTACGGTCCCTCCTTTCCATCATTGGCGACCATCCAAGATAAAGAGTTCCTGGTCTTAACTTCAGGGAAAAGAGTTAAATTCTTTGCTGAAGATCTGTTCTTAGCTCAGGCGGTAGGGTAGTCCATGACGTCACTGCTGCGTTATCATGTCTTACTAAAATAGAGCGTTTCAAATGGCGTGACGTCCCGACGTCTGTTGGTTTCGTGTCCCATAACAATGAAACGGCCAAGTTGGTACCCCAAATCAATGCTGTGGTTGCTGAACCTTTTTCTTATGTAAAAACTTTTTTCGTTCCAATAGATTTGCGTAGTTGCTGACCGCGTGAGAGAAAAGGCTTTATAAAACCTAATATCTCATTTCTATAGGACTATTATCACGCGAAACCTCTATAGTTCATGACTATGTTAAAAATGTTTAGTTAAGGTAAAAAAAAACACTGCAAAAACCGTGTAGGCACAATCTTGCTCAACGTCGGATCCAAAAAGATCGTGATCAGTCAAAATATATAAAATTTCAAGAAGACTTTTGCAGGGACTGATCAAACAACGTGAAATAGAGTTAAGTTGCGATATTTCGACTGGCCAATACCAGTCTTCATCAGGTTTATTGACTGTAACGTTTTCAATGTTAAAAATATTCAATTATTAATTATATTTATCTCAACGTGCTTTGATTTTGTCTATGGAATAACTACTCATATGGATGGTTAAGGGATAAGCTACGATTGATATTTTGTTTGTTTGTTTTTTTTTCTTTTTCTTTTTAAACTTATTTCAATCAATTAAAGAATTAGAGCGGTTTTCATTTGACTGTCGAAAGGGATTGGTTTTGGTTTTGGTTTTGGTTTTACTACGCCCTTTGGTTGGCTAGTGTATTTACTTTGGTTTTGGTTTTACGACAGTCAAGTGAAAACCGCTCTAACTAAAATACTTATACTTTGTTAGAGTCATGCAAATAAAGTTTGTTATTGTTGTTGTAAGGCTGCATGGGAACTTTACAAATAACGGTAAGTCTCCGAAACATCATGTAACGTTTTATCGTTAATGTTTTCACTAAAAATGATTAATACAATAAAAAATAGCTGGCTAGCAAGACTCATTTTACTCTGGTAATGACATGTTATTAATGATGATGGTGAAAACATCATGGCTCAATTTCGATCATTAAGAATATGACCGAAAGTGTCAGAAGTTAAAGTCTAATGTAACCAAACAAATCTTACCTCAATCAAAAGCATTATCAGGAGGTTTCCCCTTGATTTTGGGAATAGTTCCGTCTTCGTGTTCCGTAATCGGAATACTTTCGATCCTACTGTATCAATCAAATGCAATCAGTGTTGAACAAAGGATCCACTACCTATATCAGCTTGTCATGCAGTATTCCGCGTTAAAATAAATACAAAATAGATAAATTGTAGCTCTTTTATTGTCTCAGTGAATGAATAGCCATTTAAGTATCTGACGCCTGACGAAAGACTGTCATACTAGAGCAAAATCTAAATCAAGCTTTGAGCACTTGCTTGATGTATGATTGCAAAGCCCACGGTTGGTGTCAAAAAATTTCCTTGGATCTGTTACACTTTTTAGTTTCAGTCGTTGAAGTAATCATGAAATTGCTTACATTGCGTTTTGGCCTTGTACAATTACCGCATAACGTTATTTTCCAAGGTACTGTAATGGGACCTCTCCTTTTACTGTGTACTTTTGTTTCGCCTATAAAAGAAGGAATAAGTGGCACATTAATTAAGCCCTAGCCTGTGAACGAAGTACGCTGTTTTGCTGAATGCTTGGCACGGACTCCTCTTCCTAAAAGAGGGCATATTTAAATCGAACAACATGAACATGGTAAGTATAAAAATTGTTATAGCAGATTGGATAACTCCGGCTGAAGTGGAGTTATTAGTTTATAGACTCGGGTCTAAACCGGCACAGTTTAGACACCCTTAATCGCGCTTACACGGCTCTGATAAAAACTGAGAAAACCAACTACCGGCATTCTTTCCTCTAAAATGCACAACAATTATCTGCTACCTTTTTAGCTACCTTCCTCTTTTCCTGTAGAGGCAAACTTACAATCCCTTATACCAAATCTGCTAATTTATAGACTACGAGTAGTCCCCCATTTTACCTCAGCGATAGTAGAGTGAGCGAAACGCGAGCGCGCGTGAAAATCACCCCACGCGAGAAAGGCAATACGCCGCGTGTCGCCTTTTCGCATTTGGTCTAATACATCGTTAATGCTTTTCTACACTTTATAAGTAATAACCGGAAGCCAGGGAAACTAACATGCAGCACTGAATTTAAAGATATAGAGTGATTTTGTTTGAACCGTGAAACAGATACTAACTAATAGACTAACACGGAAATAGTTTTTTAATAAATTTATTGTGTAAGATAAGAAAATGTAAGAAAATTATTACTTTACTCAATTCTGGATACATAATATATTTTAATTTTCAGCAATTATTTCTTTCTTTGATTGTCATCTTGAATGGCTCCAGTCGTGGTTTTACCAAACCACTAACGCAAAAACTGTCATCTCCTCGAAACCTAACTTTACATCATCCGTTACGCGAACAAGATTCCAAATCACAAGTCGACGTCTTTCAACACGAAGCTAAAGAGAGTATTGACGAAAAGGACAAAGTAGCAAAAACTGAACAAGAGGTTCTCAGCGGACAAGTTGCATATAATAGAACGGTCAGGGACATTGATATTAACCCCCACCGTAAACCGTGTCTTAAAAACAAAGTGATAAAGTGGGATTCATGTAGGCAAAAACTTGTCGAAGAGGTTTATTGTGAAATTACGCACAAGGCCTGTTATAGTGCGTTGGCTCGTGGCTATAGTTACCCCGCCTGTAAAGTAGTTATTGGCTATCGACAAATCAAATACCACTCAAAATGCCCTGCATTGCAAATAGACTGTCAATGTGCTGCCTGAAAACTTCACTTGGGGAACTTATCGACCTGATAGCTGTATTCATTGCATGAACGGTAAAATTACTTATACTTATTCGGTAAATGACCCACATCAATGTTCACTGTGTTCAAACTGCATACTGGCTGGGTTAAAAATAATATTTGAAATGTGAGAAAGGAAGAATTTTTTTCGGATGTCAGAAATTAGTGTGGACATAAATCTTTGTACAAAATCTGGTCTAATTATAAATAAGACGAAATTTTCCAAGATTTTTTCAGTGGGAACTGACAGATGCATAATGTTTGTGCCACATGAACAAAAACCTTTATTATTGTATTTGATGCTGTAGGATTACATTTTATGCTTAATTGTAGATAATATATTTTATAAATACTATTTACAATGTAAGATTTGCATAACTGAAGATAAAAATTCGGTTTAAAAGTTCTGAAGTACTGTTTAAAAAACTCACAGGAGTGTATTATCAGGTTTAAAAACTCGAGGCGCACCGTACCTGTAAAGGTCAAATTTTTCGTAGACTACTCACTGAGTCCCCAATGAGTCTTCCTATCGGCGAGATCGAGCTCTTTTCGTTATGGGCGGCAATACTGGATTTGATACTCATCCACCCATCCCAAGCTTGGACTCAGATCATTTATTAAAAGGAACCAATAATACGATTATTTACTTAAAAGCGGGCAACAAGGCAGGTTAGCCGAAACAAATGGGGAAGGGGGTGGGGGCTTGCTATCTAGCCTGGTGTCGCAGATAGCCCAAGGACCTTAACAGTGGGTGGGTGCCTGGCAGCTTTTTGTAAATCATAGAGGGATGGGTAGGGTGGTTTTGACACTTTGATTAGAGTTTTAGCCTGCTAGCTAGCTCTCCATTTATGGTGAGCGAAGTGAGCCGCGAGAGAACACGCGAGAGAGTTTATGGTTGGAGAGCAGGGCCTCCCTTAATAGGCCATTCGCACGATGACGTCATTTTACTACTACGACCAAAATCCTTCAGGATTTTGCTTTCTTGTGTAAATTAGGGCTTTTGTTTTCGAAACCTCACTGGGAATACCAAATTGGAATATGAAAGGAAAAACGAAAAGGATTCTGGCCGTAGTAGTAAAATAACGCCATCATGCAAATGGCCTATATGTAGAAAAGTTGTCCCGAGTAGAGGGATCACTCAACCACATGATAAAACGTGTCGAACCGATTTCTACTCGGGTAATCGGCTCCTGCATGCATCTGATACATGTATAAAGACCTCGCACTGAGATTCGCGATTCGTCGGTAAATCATGATATAACAGACTGATACTGGTTTACGAAGCACATTTACAGCCCTGCACAAATACTCTTCCAGAGTACGTCACCTTACTTTCTAAACACTTGGGGGTACGAAACCTGGTTCTTATAGCACGGTGGCAAGCAAGAAGAGTGCTACGTTTACATTGGATTTGATAAGTACGTTTGTTTCCAGGCAGTCGGATCTCCTCATATGTGCCTGGCATGAAACACGGATTACTGGTAACGTCTCTCTTGATTCTCTCAAGGTGATCAATGTTCGATCTGTCCACAACTACTTGCAAATCAGTACCCGACTCCGACCGTAAGCTTTGTAATCCACTTGCGTTTTCATTGAAATTTTGGCCACGCGATAACCTTTTCCATATACTTTTCTGTGAGGTCTTTTTATCCGTACTGCGAGGTCTTCCGACAACGATGATTGATCCAAGGTACAGGAAAATAACAGCATTAGCTACAGTCTGAAAAATTCAAAGAAGAAAATCGATTATCAGTAGGTTATGATGAACTTGTTTCAACTTAAGTTGTCCCTAGTCG